CTTATGGCAGAGTACTTTAATGTTTATTCAGTCTAATAATAAAAAATACAGCTATGTGGTTTAGATATCCTTGCTGTTTTATTTTTGTTTGTTTTGATCTTTTCATTTTTCTATTAGATCATTTTTATTTTATTGCATTTTACAAAGGAAGTAGTTCTGGTGGTGTGTTGGTTAAGTCATTTGACAGCTAACCAGAAAGTTGGTAGTTCAAACCCATGAGCCACTCTGCGGAGGAAGATGGGACAATCTACCTCTGTAAAGATTTACAGCCTCAGAAACCCAATGGGGGTCGCTATGAGTCAGAATGGACTCCCTGGCAGTGAGTTTGTTTGTTTGCTTGCTTTTTGGATTTACAGAGGTCCCTGTTCATGGTAGATTGGCACGGGGGGAGTCTTTCACCATGGGTAATTTTAGAAGTACTGCCTGCCTCGAACACTTTCAGCTGGTCTCTCTGCTGCCTACGTTAATAGTTGAAGCCACCGGACCATCCTGGCCATCTTGGGACAGTCTTGAGTGATCCTGTCCTGGTGTAATTATTAGCGGGGCTCCTGTTCCCTCTCACAAATGTCCCAAAAGTTGGCTGATAATTTATACAGTCACCCCATTACAGGCTCAGCCGGCCAGACGTCCTCCACCCATTTCAAGCCCACATGATTTTCAGCCTCAAGCCTCCTTGTAAGGTTTGCCATGGACACCATCTGGCCAATGATAAGCCTTGTTCTCCAAGCTCTGCCCAGTGGGAATCCGTCTCCTTCCACCCTCCAACCTGGTGATGCAGAAGCAGTTATCTGAGTCAGATATCAGAGGCTATGGTCAGATATCAGAGGCTATGGTCAACTTGGTGGCCATGTGTCCTGGCTGCATGGACCAAGCCTCACAGGAAGAGCTGAGCACTTCCGGGAGGGATGAATTTGGGGCTTTGTATAGTCCCTGCCTCTGCCCACCCCTCCCAGGCCTCCCACATCTGCCAGCAGTGAATTAGAAGGAAGGAGCTGGAACCAACAGCAACCCAAAGGAAGATGTTCTCAACCTTGACCTTGATTAGAATAGAAACACAAACCCCTTTGTCCTCCCAGCCTGCCAACTGCTTACATCAGAAAGGGCTCCTGGTGCCTGGGAGGGGGAAGGTTTGAGTTTGGTGTCTGGGAAGTGGGGCTGAAGCTGTGAGTGGGCGGCACTGCCCAATCGCCCCAGAGACTCCTCTCGGCACCTAGCTGCCCCACCCATTCTGGAAGCAAACTGGCTTGCCCCAAATGCCTTTCAAGGGCCCCCAAGCTGTGCCTGTCTTTGCACCCTGCTGGGCTCGGGCAGCCCCAGGACAGTTACCTCGCCCAGGAACAGGCTGAGGGCCAGGAGCTCAGGGCTCAGGGCTGTGCACGAGGAAATGATTCCAGGCCAACACACAAACCCCTCCAGGGTTGACCTAACGTGCATGGGTTTGGACATGGTTGCATTTACTCAGATGTTCCAAAAGGCTGACAGGGCTCTGTCCAAAGTCCAGAGTCATTCAGGATTGGGGGATGTTTGGCCAAGGACGAGGAGGGCAGGAGCAGGAACCAAGCTTGGATAAGCAGCCCCTTCCTCACCTGGGACCTGGGCTCAGGCCTGGCATGGGTTTATCTCTGAGGCGAATCCACAGTGACAAGCGGGCTCTGTCAAAGGCACGGTGTGCTCCCAGGCCCGGAGTCTGTAGGGCAATGCAGAGAAACCTGCAGGAAATGCCAGACTCCTGTGGAGTGCTTCAGAGGCTGGGCACCTGGGGTGCAAGGAGGACACCCAGACAAAGATGTTCTCCCCAAAATGGTGGGCGCTGGGCTGTCACTTCGGCAGGGGTGGTGGAAAGTGTGTAGGACTTGCAGTTGGGCTTAAATCCCACTGCTCACTGACTCGGACACTTCAACGCTCTGGGCAGGTTTTCTCATCTGTGAAAAGGGCAGATTAATGCCCGCCCCCCAAGGGGTTTGTGAGGATTAAACGAGGTAACGTTGTGAAAGCATCTAGCATTGTGTCCGGCCCCAATAGGGGCAAAGTGAACATTGCTGTTGTTGTTGTTGTTGTTGTTATGTGCCGTCGAGTCAGCCCCGACTCATAGCGACCCCTCCTTGGGTTTCCGAGGCAGTATCACTATGGAAGTAGAATTGCCCAACCTTCCTTCCAAGAAGTGGCTGGTGGGTTTGAACCACCAGCCGTCTGGTTAGCAGGCAAGTGTCTTAGCCACTATGCTACCCTACATAGATGCATTTATAGTATGTTAATTAATGTCTCGATAAAGTTGACTTAAAAACACAACAGGTACGTCAGCAGTGAGCATCCTGAGAAGGAAGGGAAGGGAACATTTTACGAAAGCAACCGAGAGAATAAAGTACTTAGGGATAAATTTAACCAAGACGGCAGAAAGCTTGCACACTGGACGTTGTAAAACATTTCTAAAAGAAATTAAAGAAGACCCAAATACGTGGGAGGACATCCCATGCTCATGGATCGGGAGATTTAACTATTGTTAAGATGTCAATACTGCCCAAAGCAGCGTACAGATTCAAGGCAACCCCATCAATATTCCAACAGCCTTCTTTGCAGAAATGGACAAGTCAGTCCTTAGATTCATACAGAACAGCAAGGGGCCTCGAATAGCCAAAGCAACCTTGAGAAAGAGGAACAATGCAGGAGGACTCGCACTACCCATCAGGCTCAATCCACCAACGCACTTTCCCAGGCTCAGGCTTGACTGAGCCTGAATCACAAGCCCTTTGTCTGGTCCTTCCTGCTGCCCTTTCCCCAGAAGTCTGTTTGCTGAGGGCTTACCAGGTTGGCGCTGCTCTCCCCTGCCCTCCCCATCCTCATCCTGGCATCACAGCACCGCAGGCCGCGTCTCTTCTGGGTTTCAGGGCAGAAGGGCAGGGCCTGCCCAACTCCAAGGACCCCTCCAGGTACACTGCCTCTTCCCCTCAGCTCAGGAGTGCCCACCAGGCTCATCTCAAGGGACAGACAGTGGTGGCCAGTGCCCTATCTGTGGTGCCCCCGGTAGGCTCAATGCCCTACTGGACAGTACTGCTCTGAGCATGTGGCTGTGAGCTGGAGCCTAGAGAGAAGAGGTAATGGAGACTGGGGAGAGGTTGAAGGGCCCACCAATGGCTGTCCCTCTTCTGGCATCAGTGCGGGTGCAGGGAGCCAAGGTGTGTGCTGGTTCCCATCCAGCTCTTGACCTAGACTCCTTACGACCAAATCTGGCCTTGGCCACTAACTCCCCGCCTGACCTGGGCCTCTCAGTTTCTTCAGCTGTGGAATGGGAACAGCAGCACTGTTGTGTTGAGGGTGACATGAGATAAGTTGCCGAGAGCCCTGAGCAAAGTGTACCCTTGATGGGCTTTGTTATTGCTGTTCCTTCAACGGGGAACACTTTGAACTGTAGGGAAGACAGGGTACATCTTGCCTGATCTCTAGGGCTGGTCAACACCCTCCCTGGGCAGGTCATCCATGTCCCTGTCCCTTGTGCTGTCATCGTGTGGAAGGAGCAGCCTGCTTTCTCCTCCCCACAGTCCAGGGCTCTGGGCATCTTGGGAGCTCTACAGAAACACCGGTCAGTTGGCTTTGCGCCCATCCTTGGACCTGGCTGGTTACCATCACGGAAGGAGACCATCCCCCAAGCCTGTCCCATATGTGTTTCTTTCAGCCTGAGACCTCCCTGGACTGAGAAGGCCCAGGTGCCCAGGTAAACCCAGGGCAGTGCCCTGACGGCAGCTTGGCCCGGGCTGTGGGCCTCACTTGTCTGGGGGCTATGGACAGGAACACAAACACAGCCCAACCCACAAGAGGGTTCCAGATCCTTCTGAGAGGGCGGAGTCTTTGAGGCCCACTTGAGGTGGACGTGGCTAGGCAGCACCTGGTATAAACCAGCAGGTGAGGGGCTCAGACCAGAGTGAGCAGGTAAGGGGCGCAGGGACTGGTGGACGTTGGAGGGCGTTGGGACCAGGGGCTGGAGGGATCAGGGGAGGCAGGCGTTGGTCTACCTGGGACTGAACTGGGGAACAGGGAGGAGAAGGGTCCTCGAGAAAGGGGCTGTCTCCCAGGACCATCTGCAAACTTTGGGGGGCCCAGTGTAAAGGAAAGTTGGGGCTCTTGCTCAAAACTGATTATGAAATTCAAGATGGCGGCCACAGAGGACATTGACCAAACACAAAACTCTGAGCTCACTTCCTATAGGACATGCCCTGTCTCTTCATGTCCCCCTGCCCCCCTGCCCAACTTCCAGGGACCTCAGAACCCCTCAGACCCGACGTCTCTTCCCCAGAGCCTCTGTCAGAGCTGCCCCTCCTGCCGTCCTCCTGATCCCGGGCCCCGGTGAGGCGTCTCCGAGCCATGCTGCTGGCCCTAACCCTCGCCCTCCTCATGAGTCCTGCCTGCCTTGCCCAAGGTGAGGCCCTCTCCGTCCGGCCTCCCTGGCCTCGGTGTCCCCAGCGAGGTGGTTGACTTGCACCAAATTCTTGAGGAATTGGGGACCAGCCCCAGAGCTCTCCTTCCTTGGTAACGCAGGCCTCCCCTGCAGAGATCCAGGGCAGGGGTGGCGGCTTCTACTTCTACGTCCGGGGCGAAGAGCAGGGCGAGATCCAGGCCATCCGGGTCTTCGTGGGGATCTTGGGCTTCATCAAGGGGTGAGTGGATGGTTTGACCATGGTTCCCCACAGCTTGATGTCTTCCTGCTTCACCCCAACATTCCCTCCACCTCAGCGGGCTGTGTTGGACCCACTGAAGCAGAGAGTACATGACTCAGACTTGGGTGCGAGTCCCAAGCGAGGCCAAGGGTGCTTAGATAGGAAAAGGTGACATCATCCGTGTGTTGGGTGAGGGTTCTGGGGTCCCCCTGCTCCAGGTTCTCTCCCACCGCTTTAGGGCCCCTTGGTGGTGAGTGACAGAAACCCACTGCAGTGAACCCATGCTCAGGACCCCCTTGGTCTTCACGCAGCCTAACGTGCAATTGTCCCCCTCCACAGGGTCCTGGCCATCTAGAAGGGCCAGTGTCTCCTCTGAACAGCCCTGATCCTGACTGCTCCCACTGGCGTCTGCCTCTGGGGCCTTGTACTCCTCACTAAAGCACCCAGAACGTCTTGGGCTGGGGTGACCAGACAGAGCCACTAAGCTTACAGCACATCCAGTCAGACAAACGCTCTCCCCTCCCAGTATATCCCATGCCATATTTGGGGACATCCCATTGTTGTCGGGTTGACTCTGACTCACAGGGACCCTACAGGACAGAGGAGAACTGCCCGGCAGGGTTTCCAAGGATGTAAATCTTTACAGGGACTTCGTTGTTGTTGTTATGTGCCGTCGAGTCGGACCCGACTCATAGCGACCCTCCTTGGGTTTCCGAGGCAGTATCACTACGGAAGTAAATTGCCCAACCTTCCTTCCGAGGAGTGGCTGGGGGGTTTGAACCACCAGCCTTTTGGTTAGCAGTCAAGTGCCTTAGGCACTATGCTACCAGAGCTCCTTACAGGGGCAGACTACAGCATCCTTCCCGCGAAGCAGCTGGTGGATTGAAACCATTGACCTTTGTATTAGCAGCTGAGTACTTAGCCACTGCATCATCCACCCACACTAAAAAGTGCAGTATTGGGGACACACTTATATGGCAAAACAGCAGCGTTTGAGACCGTTAACATAACCGAATTGACTGACTCAGGGCGTCCCCATGGGGGCCAGAGCAGAAGTGTGACCCGGAAGGTTTTAGTGGCTGGTTTTTCAGAGCTTGGCTGTCAGGTGTTTCTTCCCAGGCACCACCGGGTGCACTCCAGCCACCAACGTTCCTAACAGCTGAGCTCGTTAACCATCTGCACCCCTAGAGACTCGATCTGAGACATATAAGTCCACTAAAACATGCAGTCTTTAGGATACGAGCATATTCATACTGGGAAAAAAAAAAAAGCAATGTTTTGGACAAATACTTTTAAAAAGGCAGCATTTAGGATCTATTTACATCTAAGAAATGTATTTGTTGTTTATCTGAAAATCTCTTTCATGGGTTGGGGCAATCCCACCCCGGGTGTGTCTTAGGACATAAGCAGTAAGCTGGGCTTTGGAACGTGCTGGAATGGGGCGGGAAGACAGGCAGGCGTTTCTCTGTCTCGGGGGACACAGCTGCCAGGGCTTGGGATCCCCACGTCACAACACCAGCCACACCTGTTCCCTGCCTGGGTCAGGCCCAGCCTTGCTCCCGTCAGCTTTTGGATTGAGGGCCAAGCACGTCTCCAGAGAGGGGGGCTGGTGAGCTGGGCCCACCCCGCGGAGGTGCAGCCCGGGGGGAGGTGCTGCGTCTGCGGGGGGGCTCTTCTGTCGCTGGCTGAGCACCAGGTCAATGTCGGGGGCTGCCTCAGCCTGGCCCCCGCTTCATCCAGCCCGGAGACGACGTGCATTCCACACCTAAGGGACACGAGGGTCTACGTGCACACCTGGGCGAGACTCAGGGGGCTGGGGGGAGGGGCCACGTGCAAAAGAAGCAGAGACTGAGGGGTGTAACTGCAGCTGACCTGCCTGGAGCCGAGCAGCATCTGTGGGGACACTGCGTGCCCTTTTGGGGAGAAGGTCGAGTGAGCCAACGTGGGAGCTGGAGAGGTAGCGCCTGCAGGGAGGACTGAGGGGGGGACTTCCGGCAGGTGACCCTGTCCCTCTCTCCAGCATCCAGCTGCGGTTCGGGGAGCACTGGAGCGCGCGGTACGGTGCCCCTGGCGGCCGCGCCCAGGAGCTGCTGCTGCAGCCGGGCGAGCGCGTCACCGCCGTGTCCGGCAGCGCCGGCGTCTGCGTGCGGCACCTGCGCTGGAGCACCAGCAGGGGGCGCGACGTGAGCTTCGGGAGCCCGGCCGGCCGGCAGTTCTGCTCCCAGGCGCCCGCCCAAGGCCAGCAGCTGCTGTCGGCCAATGGCCAGCACGGGCTCCTGTGCCTCTCCGGCATAGGCTTCAAGTGGGGCTTCGCCCCGAAGACGCCGCCCACCCAGGGGCCCACGGCGGAGACTCAGACCGCCACGACCGGAGCAAAGAGGGGCCCCACGCAGGGTGGGCCTCCTCCTGCCTGAGCAGTCCTGGCTGGCCACCTGGCTGGCCACCTGGGGCAGGTGCACTCACAGGAGGGCAGGGACCGGGTGAGCCCAGGCTGGAGGTGGTGGACAGGCCAAGAGACAAGGCCAGAGCGAGTCTGACCCCGTTTGAATAAAGTATGTGCACAGATGAGAGCCTGTGTGGTCCCTGCCAGCCGGGGAAGGGGACGGGGGTGGGGTGGGGTGGGGGGCTCCCTCGCCCCTACACGCCCCTTTCGGCCTTCAACCAGCACTACAGCCACAACTACATCAGATTCCATGTCCCTGTACACCTTTAGGCTACCGTGTCAGTGAGGACGGGGAGACATCTCAGGCCCTTCGGTCCCGTGGCACAGGGATGGGTGTGGATGGGTGACTGGGTTCACGCCAGTGAGGACTGCCTGCCAGGGACTGGGCTCTGCGTGGGGCCCACAGCTGCCCCCCTTCCCATTTGTCCCACATCCTTCCTCCTGCTCCTCCTCCCTTCCTGTCCCCAACCTCCTCCAGCCCCACCCTCCCTCCTCCTCTCCCTACCGCATTGTCCCCTTCCTCTTTGTCCTCCTTCAAGTCTGCATCCCCTCTTCCTGTTACCCTCCTCCAACTCCTTCTCCTGCTCACTGCACTCCTTCACCCCCTCCCCTCTTCCCTAACATCCCCTCACATGACGATGACCCTTCTGAGGGTCAGCGTGTCACTTTTCAAGTCAGCCCCTTCCCGTTCCTGACCGTCCCTGTCACCACAGTGGGCCCACTGGCATAATCCAGGGTCGTTTCCCATTCCAGGAGCCTTAACTCAGTCACATCTGCAAAGCCTTTTTCCCATCTAAGACACCAGGTTCCGGAGGCTTAGAGAGAGGATGTTCCGGGGGTCATGGTTACGTCCCCCACAATGCCCATCTGTGCTAGGAGCAGCTTAGGCAAGTTGTTGTTGTTGTTAGGTGCTGTCGAGTCATTTCCGATTCATAGCAACCCCATGCACAGCACAACGAAACACCGCCCGATCCCGCGCCAGCTCCATGATCCTTGCTATACTTGAGCCCATTGTCGCAGCCACTGTGTCAATCCATCTCATCCAATTTTCCTAGATTCGTACTTCATACATTCCATGTTCCGATTATTAACGGATGTTTGCCGCTGTTTCTCCTCAATTTGAGTGGTGCCACGTCAGCAAATGGAGGTCTCAGAAGCCTTACCTTATCCATATGAGTAAGGCTGGTTTTACTCTGATTATGCAGCTCTTGCCCGGTCCTACCTCGAGAGCTTTCTAAGCTAAGTGACTCATCTTCCTCCTCTGTATTGGACAATGTTTCTGGACTATTCATAAAGTTGCGCAGTAATGCATCAGACAGTGTTTCTCTGCTATTCATAAGGTTTTCCCTGGCCAATTCTTTGAGAAGTGGATGGCCTCCTCCTTCTTCCTCGTCTGTCTCAGTCTGCAAGCCAGGCTGATACCTGTGCACCAGGTGCACCCCACTGGGTTTGAAACACCAGTGGCACAGCCTCAAGACTCACAGCAACACGTCACCACAGTAGGACAAACCGACAGACAAGTTGGTCTCCCTTCGCTGTTGGAAACCTCTCTTCTTATCCGGATTCCTACTGCTGCCTCCTCGCTCTGTCCCACTCAAGGGACATGGTTTAAAGACCAGTCACAGTGCACACATTCAACAGAAGGATCCTTAATCCTACTGTGGCCATTAAGGCTGTGTGTCCAGTTGGCTGGGCCTGGTTTGGGATGTAGTTACTCCCCACGGTGAGACTGGCCATCAACTCCATGGTGGAATCTACTGGAGTAGCCAAGGAGCTGCTTTAGGGGTGTGGGCTGCTTCCCGTGTGTAAGAGGCAGCTTGGAGGACGGTCTCCAGCTTTTGGCAGCGTGGACCCTGCATGTAGCTGAGTTGTTCAGCAGCCTGCCATGTTGTCTGCCGACCTTGGGACTGTTAATGGGACTTGAATTAATGGCCTACCATGTGGTTTGGTAACATCAGGACTGTGCCTTTTTACTTGTCGAC